CCAAGATGATGACCATACTCTGCTTCCCCTAGTGGTCATCGCGTTTCCCTTTTTTCTCTCTGGTCGTTTCCTTCTCTGCCTCTTCTCATCTTTCTCGCTGGGGCGCTCTGCGGTGTGACATGGACGAACCCTCTTCCTCATCGGGCCCGCGCCTTTCTTCTTCTGCCCTCGCTGCTCCATTTCTCTCAGGCTGCCACCGCCACTACCGCCCAGCTTCTGTCGGTGCCTCGCTTTTTCCCCGACGTTGTTCCTGCAGCTTATGGCCCAGGCTGCCTTGGGTCTTTCTGCTCAAGGTAACCACATCCCTCTTTAAAAATTCTGCCGAGAAAGAGAAGACGCTTTACCCGACTCTTGGGCCGTTATCTCACGGAACTTTCTGACCAAGTATACAGCTACCCAGAGGGCCTTGAAGTGCTGTATAGAGAGCAGTTCCACTTCAACTTGGGAACCTAGCTGATGATAGGGGGGTCCATCTCCTAACTTGTCCATGTGCATTGACTGGAAGCTGGAAGAGCAGAAGAGGTGTCCTCCAGGCACTCCAGTAATGGAATACTGGTGTCCCAAATGATGGCTTAACTCGCTGGACCACAGCACCCTTTCCCCAAAGTAATGTCTTCATGGCTTCCTTGGTGTGACCTGAACTAATTTTGGAAAGTAAACTTGACCTGAATCCGGAAAAAAAAAAAAAAAAAAAAGAACAAGAAGAAGATGATGACCGAAGTATTTTGATACTGCCACCCACATGGGAGTCCCAGATGGAATTTGTTGGTCTTGGGTTTAGACTAGCACAGACCTGGCTGTTGCAAGCATTTTGGGAAATGATCCAGAGGATGGAAGATAGCTCTCTTTGTTGCTCTGACTTTCAAATAAACAAATATAAAAATATTTTTAAGGGTTCATAAAATTAAATTAATTATATGATTTTATTTTGGTGCAGTAACAATTTGGAATTCATAAAATGCATTTTTAGCTTACACACTTTCCATATATTAAAAAAAATGTCGTTTTTTCCAAAAAACTATATCAAAATAAACTCATACTTTTAAGTCTCTTTCCATGTACTTTCCAAATCTCCCCATGTTTCACCCACTAAAATGTAGGGCAGCCATAACTGATGTTCCCATCCAGGCAGTAGACTTCCATTCTGAGTATTTATGGAGCCTGAAAATAAATTTTGATGCAATTTTAATTTAGAACCAGAGTGAAAAGTTTAGAATACAGTGAGGGTGGACATGAGTTTTAAGTACTCTTTTTCTTTAGGGTTTTTTTTTTTTTTTTTTGACAGGCAGAGTGGACAGTGAGAGAGAGGGAGAGAGACAGAGAGAAAGGTCTTCCTTTTGCCATTGGTTCACCCTCCAATGGCCGCCATGGCCAGCGCACTGCAGCCGGTGCATCACGCTGATCCAAAGCCAGGAGCCAGGTGCTTCCTTCTGGTCTCCCATGTGGGTGCAGGGCCCAAGCACTTGGGACATCCTCCACTGCACTCCCTGGCCATAGCAGAGAGCTGGCCTGGAAGAGGGGCAACTGGGACAGAATCCGGCACCCCGACCAGGACTAGAACCTGGTGTGCCAGCACCGCAGGTGGAGGATTAGCCTATTGAGCCACGGCGCTGGCTTCTCTAGGGTTTTAAGTTAGTTGACTGAATAATAAAAAAGTATTTAGACAAATATTTCTTCTTAAGCGTTTTTATTGAGTTTTAGAAATCCTGATTAAAACCACTTGCTAGTTAAATATCTTCATTGTCCCAACTTGGAGAAATGAATGTCTAGGTTATACTCCTATGCAGTGTTGGTTAATAGTTTCTGTAATGCCTTTCAAAAAGCTTATTGACTACATTTTGCCCTATTTGAAAAATTAAATCAATGAAAATGAAAGATAAATTATGTATGTGGGGATTATCCATAAGAACACCTGTAAAATTTATGATCTGCAATCTCAGTGTGCAAAGTTTTCCTCATTTAGACTGTTTAGCCTTGGCTTTCTTTCCCCTTTATTATGATAAATCAGTGTGAATATTAGAGATTGCCATGCCTTCTCTTGTCCAATGAAAGCTGGGTTAGATTAGCACTTCTCTACATAAGATTCTAGATTCCTGAGTGCTTATTAAGCTAGTTATGGGGGTCTGTGTGCTTGAGTCACAATTTGAAAGAAAATAATTGGTAACTAAAATGTTAACATTATTGTCATTAGCAGTATTACTAAGTATTTTCTTTTTATCTTATTGTTCATTTTATTCTTATTGGCTTTTGATGTTTTGAAAATTTACAGAATAAAACTGGGAAACTATGGACTGTTGTGCATTTGAAGGTCTATATATTTATTTTAAATTTCATGTCTGTGAACAGTGCCAGTATTTTCTTTGCTTTGTTTTTAAGTACAATCAAATTACACAAGGAAGTGACAGCTCGCAATGCATGTACCTGAGTGTAGACAGGCAATCTAAACAGTAAAGTTGGGCACTCTGGGTTTATTGGTAAACAGTGCCAAGTCTATGAGGGAACAGATAACAAATATCTTTAGCTTCCAATCAGTGAAATTTCTGTTTAAAAGTCCAAAATTTGGGGATTGGCATAGCGGTGTGGTGGTTAATGTTGCTGCTTGTAAGGCTGGCATCCCATATGGGCACTGGGTTGAATCCCAGCTGCTCCACTTCTGATCCAGCTCCCTGCTAATAGACCAAGAAAGTGGTGGAAGATTGCTCAAGTACTTGATCCCCTGCATCCACATGGGAGACCCAGAAGCCTCTGGCTCCTGGCTTCAGATTAGCCCATTTCCAGCCATTATGACCATTTGGGAGTGAACCAGTAGATGGAAGATATCTCTCTCTCTCTTCTTCTCTACCTTTGCCTTTCAAATAAATAAATACATCTTTAGGGAAAAAAGTCTGGAAATGAACAAGTGCAGATGTGTTGTGTTATTTATTTTTAGTTATAATGTACAACCTTAAAATAAGTAAGAAAGGACTCTGAATCCTGGATGGTACAGAAAGAACATGGGATTCATAGGAGATTGCTTAGCCTGAACATGGGCACATTGAGAAGATTTTGGAAATATGGAATTAAAAGATAAGTATTCTTGCAAAAATATTTAAATCCAGGTATAGTTTTTATAGTCCATATTTTCTATCAATTTTTAAGACTCATCATGTCATCCTAGAGCTCCTCATGAAAACACAGTATTATATTTTTCTAATATAAGAAAATTCTATGAGCATCACAGTTACCTGATTTCATGAATATTTATTTTTTGTAATTTTTCCACATGTCAGACATGTCCTAGAAACAAAGTGGGGGAAGTGACTGGGTCTTTTCTTTGCCCATTCATTTCATTTAGTCTTGCACACTCCCTTTAATATTTCATTGACCTACTGGAAACAAAGGCCAGTTGCCCCAAACTCACCTCATTGTCATCTTTTTCTCTGGGTTCTCTTAGGTTGTCCTTGAATGTTTTACTCTAGAGCCTGAAAATCCTTCAGAAATGTAGTTTTAAAGCTAAGTTTTACAGACTTCAGTTAAACATGTTTCACTGGAAGATAATATATCTATGCAGTATGTGAATCACATACTGCATTGCTAGAAGAGTGGGTCTGGCAGATAAGATGCAAGACACACTAATACTGTGTGGAACATCATCAAACCAAAAATAACATTGCTTAGCAGAAATTCAAATTTAACTACGGGCTTCATTTTCTAAATCTGACCACTTTGTTCAAACGACATATAAAAGCTTTTCAAATTAACTAATGAATTGATGACAAACTGATACTTATATTGTATCATGATTGGTCCCCTTTTAACCTGGGGTGTGAGGATATTTTGATATTTGCACTTCCATCAACCAGTTATCTATCAGTCCAATTAGTTATACTTACTATTGTGAAGTCTATATATGTATAGGCTTCACAAAATACTTTTTAAATACAGTTCTATCTGTATTACAGTAACATTTTAGGGAAGAGAGAAACTTCCCTTGTCAGCTGTGGCTATTAGTAATTTCAAACTATAGTTTCTAGTTGAAAGACAGGCTCAATGCTTCTATAACAATAATCACTTCTTTATCTTTTCTCAAGTGGCCACAGCTCAAGCACCATGATTCCAAAGGGTAGGATTCCTTGTGTGATGAGACTAGATTGATCACACTATTTGACAAAGTAATTTCATTTCTAGAAGTTTATTCTAAGGAAACAAAAGGAATAGACCACAAAGACATCTACACAGTGTGTTATTTACAGTGTTTCTTGTAATAGCAATCAATCAACAAATAAATAGAAAAACAGAGGACAACATTCACAATGCCATCAGAAATGATTAGCTAAGTCAGTGATGGCACATCCAACCAGATTTGTCTCCTAACTAGATCTTACCATTTATTCTTATGCAGCTACTATCCAGTCTCAACAAGATAAATGAACTTTCTAAAACAGCAGAGACTAACAAGAGACCTTAGGGCTTAAAAAAATAGTATAGAATTATGTAATATGTGGAAACATTCTTATTATCAGTATTAAAAACCCCACAGAGAAATGAGTCAGAAATATGAAGAAAATGTAAAACACCAAAGCCAATAAATAGCCATTAAACTCTCCCTCATCCTAAGCAGGTGGCTGCAGCCACCAGGTGGGATTCTCCCAGGAAGACCCGTGGGGAGGCAGGAGGGTCCCAGCAGGTGGCAGGGTCCCACTGGTGAAAGGGTGCAGCCCTGGAGGAGGCCCTTGGCCCCTGAACCCAGGCCTCACCTCTACCATCTGGAGCGGCCTGGAGTTCCCGTCCCTGCTGTAAAGATGATGATTTGTTGCATCTTCTGGGTCCTGTGTGCTGACGGCTATGTGAGCTGTCCAATCAGGTGCGGTGACATCACTGCCACATAATAACACTGGATTGTGACACCACAGAGTTCCAAATTCCTGGAGGAGAGAGGTCCAAGGAGGAGCCTCTGCACTTGGAGACTCAGGAGCTAGTGCGGCATCCGCTGTTCTCTGACCTTTTCCACCTAACACAGCCCATCTCATATGCCTGGGAATGGTCAGTGTGTGGGGCCAGGTGACCAGAGTGGGGGAAGGGGAAGCTGGTGGTACCTGCTGGCAGGATGCGGGCTCCAAGAGGGCATCCCTGGAACCTGTGGGCCCGATCTCGCTGTCCCCATAGCACACTCCTGGGTTCCTTGTGGTCTAGAAGATGCGGTCTGCCCTGGTAGGCCCCTTCCCTGTTCAAAGAGATGTCTAAGCCTCAGAGCCCTCTGTGAGGAGCTGTTTCATGGCAACCCCACGTCTCCCCCAGTCGTGCAACAGGGGCAGGGTATAACCATGGAGAAACAGTGCTGTGTGTATGGTGTGCATGCAGTTGAGGAGTTGTCATTTATAGGATTGTCAGTTCCTCTGTTCTTTTTTTTTTTTTTTTTTTGACAGGCAGAGTGGACAGTGAGAGAGACAGAGAGAAAGATCTTCCTTTGCCATTGGTTCACCCTCCAATGGCCGCCGCGGCCGGTGCACTGCAGCAGGTGCACCACGCTGATTCAAAGCCAGGAGCCAGGTGCTTCTCCTGGTCTCCCATGGGGTGCAGGGCCCAAGCACTTGGGCCATCCTCCACTGCACTCCTGGGCCACAGCAGAGAGCTGGCCTGGAAGAGGGGCAACTGGGACAGAATCCAGTGCCCCAACCGGGACTAGAACCCGGTGTGCCGGCGCCGTAAGGCGGAGGATTAGCCTAGTGAGCCACGGCGCCGGCCAGTTCCTCTGTTCTTTGTGTGTGAGAAGCAGGATCTCAGTTTCTAGGACCCGGCCTTCCTGCATAGCTTTCCAGGAAATACCCCATTAGTGTAAATATGTGGTTTTACTAAGGAGAAACAGTGTAGTGGGGCCAGGGCTGTGGTGTAGAGGGTAAGCTGCACCTGCAGTGCCGGTATCCAATATGGGTGCCAGTGTGAGTCCTGCTGCTCCACTTCTGATCTAGCTCTCTGCTATGGTTTGGGAAAGCAGAAGATGGCCCAAGTTCTTGGGCCCCTGCACCTGTGTGAGAGACCTGGAAGAATCTCCTGGCTTCTGGCTTCGGATCTACCAAGTTCAGTCCATTGTAGCCCTTTGGGGAGTGAACCAGTGGATGGAAGACCTCTGTCTCTCCCTCTCAGCCTTTGCCTCTCTGTAACTCTGCCAACATCGTAGAATGCCTAATGATTTTTAAAATTTACAAGGAGGTGGAAACTCTTTGAGTTTGTTAAAAGCTTTCCTGTGAGACTGTCAATAAATCTTGAGAAAAGTTCCACTTTATTACATAAAATTAATCCATTTTTAGGGATTATATAAATTGGTTGTTATATATTTCAAGTAAGTAGCAAACATAGTAGAAAAATGTCTTAAAAAATTTACTCAGCTCATGAACAAGTATTCAAAGAAATTTTCCTCTGTCACAAAACAGCAAGTACTAATTTTCCAACCTTAATTTTTCAGAAAGTATAATCTTTAACCCTAGAAGGAGTATAACAATCAGGATGCCCAACTCTATATAGAATTACCACTGTGACATGACCTAAAACAACTCACTTTACTTCTCTGAGACTTAACACTTAGCATCCTCATGTGCAGAAAGAGATTTGGATAAGACAAGTTGTACTCAAGATAGACATCAAGGATCTCTCAGATTCAATAGACATCAAGGCTCCCTCAGGCTCCAAAGTGGCACTTTAAGGTATTGGTGAAAATGTAAATCAAAGCTTGCATTCTTATATACACATATATTTTAAACTATTTCTGCAAATTCAAATGTGTACCATACCACTTTTTAACACTTGGGGATAATTAATGCATTAACTCATGATGCTAAGTTGAGTTTGGTGCAGCCTTCTTTTCTTAACAGGTCCAGTAATTCACGCTTTTAGCAAATCTATACCAGATTAAAATGGTTAGGTTTATACAAACCTTTGTTTTAATGCAAGCAATGCCTACATGTTCATGAAAAATTGAGAGTAGAGACATCATGAGAGCAGGTGCTAGTCAAATGACTCAGTTGAAAAACTTAGCAAAACCTAGTAGTTAAGCAGTGGTACTATTACATATTTTCCCAATATCATGTTGTAGATAAGATTAGTACTTCTTTGAATTTGTGGTTTATTCTTCTCTGACAACCTGAGTGAGTTTAATTTGTCAGTAGAGAAGTGAAACTGTTGTAAACAGAATTATGAAGTAATATTAATAATTAGATGAATTTAATTTATCACAGTTTGATACCAAAATATCAGTCTTTTTATAATGGCATTATTAATATCATGTCAATTTCCATTTAAAAGCATTTTTTGTAAACTAATGATGGATTTCTTAAAAAATAATTTATTTGAAAAGTAGAATCATTGAGAGAGAGAGAGAGAGAGAGAGATATTCTCCATCTACTGGTCCACTGCCCAAATGGCTGCAGGTGCCTGGTCCCAGCCAGGGCAAAGCCAAGAGCATGAGGCTCCATCAGATTCTCCTGTGTAGGTGGCTCAGACCAAGTACTTAGGCCATCACCATCAGGAAGCTGGGCCAGAAGTGGAGCTGCTGGCCTCTAACTGGCTCTGATTGGATACCAGTATCACATACAGTGGCTTAACCTGCTGAGCCAGAGGCTACCCCCAACCTACAAGGAATTTTATCTAAATTGAACTTTTTAAATTATAAAGAATCTGTTAATACTGTGTCTCCCTGTCACCCTGAAAAAAAAATGAGGCCAGTGTTGTAGCACTGAAGTGTAAGCCACCACCTGCAAGTCCCAGATGCTCCACTTCCATTTCAACTCTATGCTACTATACTGGGAAAAGCAGTGGCAGATGGCTCAAGTACCTGGGTCCCCGCCACCACATGGGTGACCCAGGTCATCGAGTTCCTGACTCCTGGATTCAGCCAGGTCCAGCCCTGGCTGTTGCAGCCATTTGAGAATATTTAAACCATAAAGATGAGAGACCTTACAATTCATGGAAAAGAAGTATGCTTGTATTTCAAGAAAATTTTGCACCACAATTAACCTACCATTCATTCAATATTTGTTGTTTGATATTGCCTAATTCAAACTAACTCCATATACATGTAAAGAAATCCTTTGTTTTTCTAATGTGAAACAATTTAAGATATATTACTCACCAATTTATGCAATGTACTGCTTCCTAATAGCTCCACTTGGCATTTCAAAATGTCAATTCAGGTATTTCCGGATTATAGGTGTATTAATAAACTACTTTCAAAGATCATAATATTAGTTGTGATACTAATTTAAATATTTTAATATCCCTTAACCTTATACTACAAGTAAGATGGTGTTTTGAGTTTTTTTTTTTATAATTAGATCTATGTATGTATGTATGTATGTATCTATCTATCTATCTATGGGTTACAGTGTGAGATTGTAGTCCCTGGCTACAATATGTACTGATCAAATCAGAGTAAACAACATTCTCCCTTCTATGACATCACACTTCATGATCAGAGCCTTGGAACACCTTTCTTCCATTTGCTAATAAAGTATGGAATACATTACTGTGGGGGTATAGTCAACCCATCAAGCTATGTAACATTGAAACCCATTCTCATAATCTAACTCTGATTTTGTAGAATTACTCCAAGTAGATTTTACAGATTTTTAATTAATTACTTTGAATGAAAAGGAGACACACAGAAAGATGGAAAGGAAGGAGAATGCGCCCACCCACTGGTTCACTTCACAAATGCCTAATAAAGGTGTGGCTGAGTCAGACCTCAACAACAGTTTAGACATGACACCCCATGCACAAGTGACAAAAACAGAAATAAGGAAGTAGGGCTGCAAAAAGCTAAATAAACAAATTCTGCATACTAAAGAAAAACTGAAAAGAGAAGGTAAGGAATGGGAGAAAATATTGGGAAACCTACTTTTATTAAGGGAGTAATGCAAAGAACATGCAGAACTCAAAAGCAAATATAATTTAAAAATTGACAAGAATCTGATCATTTTTTTTCCAATGAAGATATGCAAGCAGCCAACAGGTATTTGAAAAGGAGTTCAGCACTGCTAAACAAGACCACAATGATTATCACCTCAGATATGTAAAAATGGTTATTAACAAAAAGTAAAAAAAGATAACAAGTATAAATTAGATGTGGAAAAAAGAGAACACATAAGTTGTGGAACTGAAAATTGGTATTTGCATTAATGAAAACACTCTGGACAGGCCGGTGTTGTGGCTTAGCTGGTAAAGCCACTGCCTGCAGTGCTGGTACCCCATTTGGGCCTCAATTCTCAACATGTACTAACTATTCATGTGATTGTCGTCATCGTCTTCTTCTTCTTCTTCTTCTTCTTCTTCTTCTTCTTCTTCTTCTTCTTCTTCTTCTTCTTTTTTACCAACCTGGATGACTGGTCTGTATATCTTAACCTATCTTAGCTGTTTTATTATATCTTGTTGTTATTGATATATTTTCTTAAGATTTTTTTTTTTTTTTGGACAGGCAGAGTGGATAGTGAGAGAGAGAGACACAGAGAAAGGTCTTCCTTTTTGCCATTGGTTCACCCTCCAATGGCTGCCATGTCTGGCGTGCTGCGGCCTGCGCACCGTGCTGATCCAAAGGCAGGAGCTAGGTGCTTCCTCCTGGTCTCCCATGGGGTGCAGGGCCCAAGCACTTGGGCCATCCTCCACTGCACTCCCTGGCCACAGCAGAGAGCTGGCCTGGAAGAGAGGCAACCGGGAAAGAATCTGGCACCCCGACCAGGACTAGAACCCCATGTGCCAGTGCCACTAGGTGGAGGATTAGCCTAATGAGCCACGGCGCTGGCCCCTTATGTAATTTCATTTGTTATATTAAGCCTTACTTGGGATACTTTTATCTCTGCTTATGAACAGGATACTTTTAAAAAACTTAAATTTTTATTTTAAGTCCTTGTCCCCTGTATCATCATCAAATTAATTCTGATTTTCCAAAAGAAATTTAAAAAGCACTATGTTCCTAAATTTGTATATGTGAAATGCATGAACTATGTATACCTAACATAAACAGTTTCTAGGTAAAAATAAATAAAGTTAAAGAA